ATTGGATCTACTGAATCTAGCAGAAATGGTCTCCTTAGCTTCTATCGTAACTTAGTCCGATGAATTGTCCAACGCCGTTGAGGGTGTCAGGTGGTTTCAGGTCAAGATTAGAAGGAAGAAAATAAGGAGCGTAGTATAGGCTTTACTCGCATACTAATGGTAGCACATGAGATGAAAATATAGGGCAAAAATTACCAGTTGAAGATATTGCATAATGGTATTTTTCTCAGCTTAGTTCTCGGTCTAGACCTACCATGCTAGAGTTCCCGTTAAAACCTGGTACCAAATGTGCACAACAGAAGCACTTCTAAAGCAAGTGAGATATAAAATGTATGCCAGAACATCATTTTGACATTTCTGATACCTGCTGGACTCGCCTTTGGTGCAGTGCATCCGACCAATGCTGGGTTATGATCAACTGTTTAATCCCGGCTCTTGACCAATCAGAGCGCGCCCTTATGCCGGACCGGAATGCAGCTCGTAATTTCGGCCAATGTTGTGCGGGATAGGCTTCTTGGCCGTAGCAGTAGCTGCGAGCGGTTAGGCGATGCGTGAGGTGTAGTGTACGGTGTCTGTCAGTTTGATTGATTTGTATGTAAGTATTGGTGAGGTACAAACCTTGCTTACTGGGCTTTGGCTCATGAGCTTCATTTCTGTTTTCCATCCATATAAATTGTGAACACCTGCCTTCTTAGAATCACTGTCCCCTGATGCTTGCATATCGTGCATATTATATAATTGGCGACCCTGCCAGGATGGTTACCACACACAGAGTAGACCTACCACAAAGATCCTGGCTCTACATATGTACATACAAGCCTCGGAGCTAGCACGTTGCTCACACACACGGTAGACGCAGCCCCAGATACAGCAACCTCTGCACACGCTCACCAGCTTAACGCACCACACCACTAGTACGGGCCGGTTCACGTAGGCCATGGTACACCGGGGACGGTGTTCTTCAAAAAAGGCCAGTGTAGTATACGGTGTCTGTCAGTTTGATTGATTCATATGTAAGTATTGATTTACAACCTTGCTTACCGGGCCTTGGCTCATGAGCTTTATTTCTGTTTTTCATCCACAGAAATTGTCGTGACCACCTGCCTTCGGAGAATCACTGTCCCCTGGTGTTTCCATAGCGTGCATATTACAGAGGCTCCCCCAAAACGGATATATGAGAAGTGTGATTTAAATGGTTGTGAAACTTGCCCCACCTTGGACTAAGTTTACACTTTCTCTGCGGACGAGAGTGTGAGCAATAAAAGCTTTGGTAGTTACGGGGAGTCGTTTACGCATCTCTGTTGCTCAGATTATATGGGCGAGTTCGCTGTTGTCGTATAGCTATATCCAAGCGATCCCGTGGGTCTGTAATTGAATAGGGTGATGAGAAACCTTTAGCGGGCAAGATTATACTTTCTGAACAATCACGGTAGACTGGCGGTGTTGGATGAGGTTCCTCATGTTCGGCGATATGTACTGGTTCCAATTCTGGGGCGGAGGTGTCGGATGTCGTTGACTTTAGTAACCACGCGGCGTAGGGAAAAATTTCTTGTTTGCCATCTAGATGAACTACGTGGGCGTATTGTGGGTTACAGGAGATGAGCTCCACTCCCTCTACCAGAGGGTCTTCGTTGCGTTTCAAAGAATCCGTACAAGAAACTTAGAATGGTTCAGGTGCAGCACGCTTTCGGTACCTAACTGTCATGCCACCAGTTGGAAGCACGAGGATTGGGATTCTGCCTGGTTGCACAAGCTTAATGGCGCGTGGCAGCGAGGATTGGGATTCTGCCTGGTTGCACAAGCTCAATGGAAGTCGCGTGGCAGAGGTCGGATTCGAACCACGCACGTTCCGGTCAGTAAATTCGCGCTCTAACCACTGGGCCATCTCGCTGCATAGGGACCTTGACCCAGGTAGGCAAGGAGATACCGTTGGGTGATTGTCGTTTGAAAGGCAGGAGACGTTCATGTTGGGTACAGTTGATACCAGTAGATACCAGAGATCTGATACACCAGAGATCATCAAGGAGGATAAGCTTCCAATATGCAGCAGGCAAGTTTCGTGATTTTAAAGGGAGAGAGAGAGAGGGAGAGACGGATGGTTCTCCAAGAGGTAGAATTAGATTGTTCCACTTGACCATTTCAACATGGATTATGTGTAGCGGCGTGACTAGCGGGAATGCCTCTATCGCACAAAAAAATGAGTTCAGTTGACATTAACGTTGAACCACTATCTGCGTGAACGTAAGCTGGCAAGCCAAAAATTGTAAACAGTTGACTCAAACAATGAGTCGCAACAGAAGAGGAAATAGATGAGGCGCATAGATGAGCAAAAAGGGAATCGAGAGCACTCATCAGTGGTTGTTAAGGGGTACTTGTTACGAGTGTTGGAGGGAAGTGGGGGCGTTAAAGTCACTAATAAGGCGTTCAAAAGGTTGTGGCTTTGGTAAGCTAACCACGAAAACAGACAAAATTCAGTTTGAGTTCGGAGCATGTGGAATAGTTTGAGACCATACGTCGGATATCGCTGACTGAGAAAAGGTTTTGAGGCGAACAAAATGGGCAAACCTTGTGACCCCGTGATGGAATAAAATTTAAGCATTTGAAGTGTTTTCTGTCTCAACAAGGCTTACAGGATAGGGGTATCAGCAGCGCGGTTGTCGTTTCCGGTCTATAGGACGACGTCGTAGTTGTATCCCGTCAACTCAACTTTCCACCGTTCAATCTTGTCATTGTTTTTCTCCTGTGTTGGCTCCCGTACACTAAGGCGATCGAACGTTGACCCGTAATCAGTTCAAAATGCCTTCTGGGGAGATGATGACACCATTTGTGGATCGCTTCGACGATAGCAGATTCTTCTTTTCGACAGCAGAATGGTTTTTCTCGCTTGCGGTCAAGTTCCTGGACAGGACGCTTACCCTGGCTCAGGGATGCACCAATAGTGATGTCGGACCCTTCAGTTTCGACGACGAGAGAGATGCTGTGACCGATGGTAACGACCATCGCATTCTCCATTTCTGGTTTAAGGTTTTCAACTGACACTCCAGAACCGGAAATATTCTGTTTTTAACCAAGGGACGAAATTTATCAGAAAACGCTGGTATCCACTGTGAGTACTAGGTGAACAGGTCCACGGCTCTTCAGCATGATTTTCTGTTCTGTGGAGTTGGGAGTTTTTTATCGGGCGAATGTCTTCTGGGTCAGGTTCGCTAATACTTTTGGAGACCTTGTAACCAAGATGAGTATTCTCTTCAGTGTGTCGTTCAAAGTAATATGTTTTAGTGATATCAAGCAAATGCCTGAGATTGTGGTCATGTTCATCTCTCATCTCACCGCATACAATGACGTTATCAACCAGCCGAATGTGTCTTTCACCTGTTCGACTTTGGTTATATTGTTTAGCGGTCGTTAAAAACACGCGACCCCGTTTGTCACTCCGAAAGGAATGCGCCGAAACTGGTGTAGGTTCCCGCCGGCTTCGAATGCTGTGAATGGCTGTATGACTTTTTTGAAACCTAATGATATGCACCCTGAAGGTCCAGTGTACTGTAGGCTGTATAACCTGTGACGGTTTCAATAATTTGACCTAGTCTTGGCAAAAAAATATGCGTCAAGTTAGCCAAGGCAATTGGTGACCTGCCTGTCGTCTATGACCATGTGTTTCTTGTGGCTC